AAGACTTCTTCTACAACAACTTCTTATCTTCTTGAAAAATCTTAAAGGCTTCTCCTGGAAGTTTAAAAACATGTAAAACAAAATATCATAAATCACTACTCCCATCTGTCTTTGATCTTAGGTCGGGCAATATACGTGGTCTTTTCTCCTAGACGCAAAAGACATAGCCACATGCTCCCACTCAAACTAAGTGGCGATATCTGAAGCGTCCTTCTTCGTTCTCAAACACTTATTCTTGAAGAAAGAACTTTCCACTGATGACTTGACAACTCTATTCAAGTATATTGCCAAAAGTGAAACTCCATTATTCTTTAACTCAGCACCTACTGGGTTCATCTTCTTTGGTACAACTTTTCATTGACACGACTTCATCAATTCACCCATCTGTCTGACAACTTGGGATAATCCCTTCTGTTCTTTAGGTTGGCAGCAATTGTTGTTCCTTAATTGATGGCAAATCCTCCTAATCTAATCTGGTTATCTTAGCTGCTGGCTCAGTCCTACTTCCTTGGACACCATCTGCAACTTGTATCCATTGTTTCAATGATCCTATAACAATACTCAATCACGGCGCGTAAACTATAGATCTTTTGTGGCCAATTGCCACCAACTTGGATCCTTTTGCAAGCTTCCATTGGTTTTCACCAAACTCACTCTGATAATCATCATCATCCAACTGTAGATAAGATTTATTCTAATACTGGGTACATACCTGAAATATTGTTGTAATAACTTAGTCCCACTATTGATTTTCAATTGTATATTTCAATCTCTTTAGTCTTGAAAATATTTTCATTCCCCATCATCACGTAGCCGCGATTAATAAAAGTATAGTTTAGGTATATTACAAAAGACTTCACACACACATATATATTGAAAAAAGAGAGAAAGAGATAAAAAAATTTGAGAGGGAAGTGTGAGAATTTAGATGGGAGAGGAAAGAGAGCGTAAAGACTATCAGAGAGATGGAGGAATGTAGATGGATGGGAGAGAAATTGAACAATTCATAATGAGACAATATTAATTTGAGAGAAAATATTGGAGAGAGAGAGAGTTAGTTGGAGGAGACTCCGGACCCGTGCGGTGAGAGAAAGTGAGAATTAAAGATTAATTTCGTTGATCATGAATTCTGTCGAGCTATCAACCATCGGCTTTCGATAAACTCGAATCAGATGTGTAGGAGCGAGCTACTCAGAGATTGATCTACAAAAAGAAAACAAGCACTTTGAAGCACCAGTTAGCGAAGGGGTTCAAGCTTAGTAAGTCGATCTCAAACAAAGTTGCATATCAAGGGGTAATTCCCCTTTTATAGGCATAATGGGGGGACAAGTCCGATTGTTTCGATAAGATGTTGTAGCAATCACCGACTGTCGGATTTAAGGTCGTGATCACTTCAGTTAGGTCAAGTAAAACTTGAGAGATTCCTTAGATTCTCCAAGTTGTCTCAGCTCGGCTTTGGTCGTAGATAAGAACGTTTCCCTTCGGATGGGTAAGAATGATTGCTTCTCCCGAGCTAAGTTGACCAGTGTTGAGATAATGGAGCCAAGCCAAGGAGAAAATCTTTAAGAAAATGTATTTTTTTTTAATTTTTCCTTGTCCTATTTATTTTGGGCCTTTTTATTTTCCCTTTCCCTTTCCTTTTTAGTTTTTTTCATACCATCTATTATAAATAGAGAAGATAGATGAGTCATTTGATTGGTGTGCACAAATAAAGAATCGTGAATAATTCTCCAAGAAAAGAGAGTTTGAGCGATAAATACTTGTGTATATCCGTTAGAGAGTTTGAAAGACTTGTAGAGTAATTTGTGAGCGTTTTATGTGTAAGGAAAAAGTGACAGAAATCATTGTAAAGGGCTTGTAAACTGTTGGGAAATTCTTCCTGACATTTTAGTGGAACATGCAATGGTAGCAACGTAGCCCACATTGGGTGAACCAATATAAATCTATCGTTTAATTTTCTTATCCCTAATCTTTATTTATCGTTCTTTTTACTTAGAAGTTTTAGATTATTTTATCTAATCTTTTAAGTTGTAAATTCCAATTTGAATTTCGATTTCCGCATTAATTGGAATCAGAACTTTATCTAGGATTAGCTAACAACTATTGTGAGATAATTATTAGTTGGTTGCTGTTAAAGATCCTTCATTGAAAAGGAAACGAACCTAATAAGGGTTTATAATAGACATAGGCTACTTCTCCCATTGCCAATTGGTTTTGAGATGTAACCTCATGAATATTAATAGTTGCATTTTTTTTTCTCAACAACTAATCCACGTGTCATGTCGATTTTTAGTGCAATTTGAGGGAAAAAAGTATTTCGAGAGAGAATTGAAGATTAATTTGATAGTGGAATTTTTGGGAAAAATTGTCATCAAGGTAGTAAAAAGGTTTAGCTTTTTTTTTTTCATATTTTCACCTCTCTTATTCGTAAAAACAATGTGTGAGAATTAGGGAAATTGTGTATTCAATTCAATGATGGATTACATTAACTAATACATTAGTGAAAATTAAGTAAATTGAAAATTTATATTTGAGTAATTCTATATTAATATTAATTCCATTAATATTTTTAATTTTTCAAAATTTAAAAATATTAATAAATAATTTATTATATTTTTAATATATAAGAATAAGATAAGCGGATAGCAGGAATCGAACCCGCATCCTTAGCTTGGAAGGCTAAGGGTTATAGTCGACGTTGATACATCATTTTTAACGTCTCTAATTCAAGACSGTTGGAGATGATTTTAGAATAAATTATTTTAGCAAAAAAGATTAATGATAATTGATCCTGTGAAAGTAACTTTTATAAGAAAAGTTTAAAAAAAGAGAAAAAAGTCAAGGGAGAAATTTTAGAGGATGAAAGAAATTTTTTAGAAAAAGAAATAAACATAGAAATAGATGGGCACTGAAAATTTAGAAAAAGATTACAAAAATTTTAAAGATAAAACACTAGAGACAACAAATAAATTAAAGATAAATAAAGTTAGATTAGAAAAAAATTTATATAATAATAAAAAAAATTCTCAAAATTTAAACTGAAACTAAGGTGAAATAGAACACATATTTGAAATTTAAAACAAYAATCATTTTAAAAATTAATATCCTATTTCAATTGAAAAAATTAATATCCTAATAATTTTGTTATCAAAAGTCACTTGGAAAATCACCTTTGAAGTAATTGACGGAGAATAATTTAAAGTGATTTTGGATTTCTCCAAAATCACATCGGAATCGCCCTTGGAACAAGGTAAAATTGGTATATTGTTTCTTTTATATGTATTCTATAAAATTAAGATTGCATTCAAAATTTAACATCTTACTGTCAAATCAAGCATAACTTAAGGCATCTATCTCTAACAAAAAAATCATGAATTTTCATCCCGTACTAAAAAAATTTAACATCCCACTTTACTGACAATAAATTCACAGTAATGGATTTATCAAAAAAAAAATTTTTTTGACAGTAATGGATTAAAATTGTTCTATTATAATAATAATAATAATAATAATAAAGACATTTATAATTACGTTTAAATTAGCTTTTAAAATTATTACATTCCATTGTAAGATTATTCATCAATAAGTCATGTCATAAGTCAAATTTAAAATAATTATCAATAATTCATTCTTAATCTCGAGACCTTTTTTTTTTCAAGCAAGAGAACCACATGTTTAAGGCCAAATTCAAAACAATGAGACAATTTTTGTTCTATTACTATCATCACCATCATTTGGTTAATCATTTCTAAGGCTCACTTGATAACCGTTTAGAGCTCGTTTGATAACGTTTTTTGTCCTTAGTTTCTGATTCTGTTTTCTATTTTATTCTTTTAAAAAATAAATATTATATATAGATTTTTTATTTTTTAAAAACAGAAAAAGGAAACATTTTTATGACCTTTTGTTATTTAAAAAGTTAAATAGTGTAGAAAAGACATGCTAGATAAATAAAAGTTTATGTAGAGTAGAATAACAACAGGGTTGGGCGGAAGTTGTAGTTGCCCTCCCCATCCTTATCCTCTCAATCCTTGTCTCCATCCTATTCTCTCATTCAAGGTTGAGTAATTTTCATTTGGGGTCCAGGATCTTTTAGGAAGATTGAGGATTTTATTAATTAATTTTAGCTATTTTTAGAATTTAAAAATAAAAAAGAATATTAAATACATACACTTTATATCTATTTTACTAAAAAGTATTGTTTAATAGTATAAATACTTAGTTTTCAAAATATTAATATTTTAGTTGTAATTAGTAAAATAGTTAATAAAATATATATTAATTATTTAAAAAATGAAATTAGGGATGGTGTCGAGCCATGGTGGAAAATATATTCTCTTGGACATGGACCAACCATGGAGATTTTTTCATACCTAATTAGCAACATGAAAATAAAAGTGTAGAGAGATGCGGAAAAACTTTTTAAAGAAAAAATTTTAGAGAAAGTAAATTTAAAGAAAGAAAAGTCAGAGAAAAAATAATTCAGTGAGAGAAAAATTAAAACTAAAAACGGAAAATTTTAGAGAAGTTAGGGTAAAGTTTAGTGCACTATATATGTTGGAGAAAGAAAGAAAAATAAATAAATAAAAAGAACGACACAAAATTAAAAGAGAAAAAATTTGAATTAGTTGGAGGGTAAAAAAATTGTTACTAGAGGGTGATAATTAATGTAATTTTGGAAATCTTGGCTAAGTTTTGAGGAAAAAAAAATGTAATATTTGTTTTCTAAATTTCACTAAAATTTCAAATGTGTTTTCCAGAGGGATGATAATTAAACTTACTAATAAAAATATACAAAACCAAACTTAATTTTAAAAAGTAGAAATCTAAAAACAAAGTAGTTATCCAACCACCCTCGACGAAATCTGAACAACAAACACAAGAATTATGTCTCAATAAAAAGGATTGAATAATTAACTTATTGAATCGTGTGAGATAAACCCTTTCTATAAATATGTGGCAAATCTTTCATGCATGGCAAGAGCATAACCTTTCTTCGCTTAAAAGTAGAAAAAAAAAAACTTGTTTTCAAAACCAACGACACAATGTCTCTGAAAGGGAAGTTGGAGGCTGATGTAGAAATCAGTGCTTCAGCTTCAAAGTTCCATGAAATGTTCCACAAGAAACCACACCATATTTCCAATGCTTCTGTTGACAAAATACAAGATTGTCAGCTACACGATGGTGATTGGGGCAAAGTTGGTTCTATTATCTGTTGGAACTACTTTCATGGTTCGTTTCATCAACTTTTTTTTTTTTTTTTTAGTTTCTATTTTGTCAAAAGAACCATCATTTTTAGTCTCTGAGATTTAAATTTAGTTTCAATTTCAGTCATTGAAGTTTCAAAATTGACATGTTTGGTCCACCCAGTTTTAGTTTAGTTTTTAATGGGTCTTTGAGTGAAGTTGACCATTAGTTAACCTAATTGCATTCTTTGTTCTTTATTATTATTATTTTTTAATACAACATATTGGGATGGGGATCCAACTCATAATTTTTTGGTAAAAAATAGGTGTTTTAATCAATTGAGTTATGTTCAGGTTGGCTGTATTTTCTTTTTCTTTTTCCTCCTCTCCCTGTATATTAACTCATGCAGTGTGTTGAATCACAGCGGGGAAACCTGAAGTGGCAAAGCAGGTGATTGAAGCAGTGGATGAGGAGAAGAATTTGATCACTTTCAAGATGATAGAAGGAGACATTATGGATCATTATAAGAACTTCAAGTTCACAATGCAAGCAACTCCAAAGGGTAAGGGAAGTGTGGTTCACTGGACTTTGGAATATGAAAAACTCCATGAAAACATTCCAGATTCATATTCCTTGCTTGAGCTTGTTATGGGCATGTCCAGAGACATTGATGCTCACCTCATCAAGGGCAATTAGAAACCATGACCAACAAGATTTCTACTCTATGCTAAATAAAATTGCTTGTATCAATTCTCTTTGTGCATGTTATGTATTCATGCCTTAGGGAATTGTAAAGTATACTATATGAAATGTACTATTAAATTATAGTATGAGAATAAAATTTGCTAAAATTGTTTTATGATTGAAGTTTGGAAAATCATTGATATTACGTTAGGGATTCAAACAGTCTCACACATGGGAGTGGAATATTGATAGTCAATAAGTAATGACGTCATGTTCCTTGTTGTTAGACGTTTTAAGTGAAACAAAAAGTAAGGTCACGTGGTCTAAAACTCCAAAGCATGTAGACATTAGAATATCATTATGAAAATACAAAGAGGATMATTTTATTCTAGARGTTATGGAAAGAGCTTGAAGCTATGAAACACGAACACATATTTTTGGGCGAAGCATTTGTACCGGACAGGTGTTGGACACGCATTTGGTGTGTCCGATTTTTTTTTAAATCGAACATCGGGTGGACACGAAATGGACACAGTAGCTCACTTTTTCTGAGTTTTCTTAATCCAAATAARAAAGCCCAATGCCCAGTAGTAATTAAAAACAAACAAATAAATGATTAAATAATCTAATTAGCACCCAACCACAAAAAAAAAACACACAGCAGCCACCCACTCTACGAAGTCCAC